TCCGCGTAAGAGAAGAAATCCCCACTCAGCACCGGGAACCCCGGCGGCTTCATCCCCGGCACGATGCCCACCTTCTTGTACAGGGCATCAAAGTAGTCAGAGAGCGTCCCAAACTGCGCCTGCAGGACAGCACACGCAGCCCTCAGCACGACAGGGAACCACCACGGCTCCTGCAGCTGGGGGCTCCCACCACCCCTCCCAGCACTGCGAACCTGGACGTGCAGGTTGGGCTGGGAGTTGAGGAAGTCAAAGATGCGCTGGTAGTTGAGGAACTGGGCATCCCACTCCTGCGGCTTGTCGTAGCGGAAGTCATCTCCCAGGGGCACCAGCAGCACCTTGCTGCGGTACAGCTTGGACTTCTTGCGGTACTGGTCCAGCAAGAGCTGGGCTCTGCCATGGGGGCCAGGGTGTGAAGCTGGCTCGTGGGCTCAGAGCCACTTCCCCTGCCCTGCAGCACTCACCGCTCTGCCACGTTGGCCTCGGTGATGGCTCGGGGAGGCACCTTCCACGGGCAGTTGATCCGGCCACCCGGCAAGCGCTTGAAGTCAAACTGGCAGCAGATCTTGGGGTCTGGCCCACAGGTGTGGGGTATGTCGTAGCTGTAGAAGGGCATCATGTGGCAGAAGATGTCAGTGCTGGAGTCTGTATCTGCAGGACCAAGGACAGATGAGCAACAGCAACGGCTCTCCCTTTGTCTCCCAGACGCAGCTGCTGTGGCGGTACAGACATGGCACACAGGCTCACTGCTCGGAGCCCAGAGAGCACAGCAGCCTGCACGGGCGCAGTCTGGGAGTCACCCTGGGGTTGTTCCACAGGGCAAAACCGCTGCAGAGCAGAGACATCGCCTCCCGGTGCCCAGCTCTCCGTCCGCATGGGAAAACAGTTGGAAACTGTTCCCTGCTGCCACCCACCCCAGCAGGGCCCCCCCTTTACCATCACTCCTCAGCAGCCCCTCACCCCACGTCTGTCTCCACATGAACTCCAGGTTCTGGGTGGCAGCAAAGTGCTTCTTGATGGCGTAGTGCACACGCTGGATGAGCATGCCCGTCAGGTTGGAGCGCTTCAGCAGGTAGGGCATGGTGGAGCTGTGCCCAAAGGGGTCCACGGCCCAGCCTGACCGCGGCGTCACACCTGGGGGCACAGAGACCCTTCAGCCCCACACCGGCCAGCCCTCTGCCCCTCCAGCCCCACACCCTGCCCTGCTCTCACCAATGTTCTTCTCCAGCCACTGGTGCCCCTCGATGAGCTGGTCGATCATGGCAAAGTAGTGGGAATTGGCCTCATCAGGCATCACCCAGCCACCCGTCACCATCTCCAGCTGCCCGTTGCCAACCAGCCTGCAAGGGGGACACACAATGTGCCATCAGCTCCAGGCAGAGACCTGCGGTGAGCTTGGGGCCCTCCTGCAGCCCCACAACCACTGGCTGCTGCGCCCCACTGTCCCCACACACACAGACAGGCAGACAGACATTCTTCCACAGCAATACACTGACCAAGGCCCGAGCCAGAGCTCATCCCCACACAAACCAACATCCTCTGCTGTACCCCACAGGCCCTGTCCCCTCTGTCCTCCATCTCCAGCCCTCCTGGAACAGGGGGCTGACAAGGGGCTCTCTCCCACTGCACAACCCTGCTCTCCAGGTCTCTCCAGCTGGCACTGCTCAGGTTCTGCAGCAGCGCTCGCATGCTCAGGGTTACAGCATCCTGCCTCTGGGCAGAGGCCGTGCAGCCCTACCTCCGCACCACAGCCCGCTTCTGGGCACTGATGTTATCCCACCACTTGGAAAAGAAAGAGATCTCGGACCAGATGAAGCGCCGGCGTGGGTCCTCCTGCATCTTCAGCACCATGCTGTTGAGGATGTGCTGCGTCTGGTCATAGTAGTACTTGTCGAAGGTCTTGATCCAGCCTGCCAGCACAGGTTGGGGGTCACTGCGCGGGGCCCAGCCCTTCCCCACCAGCAGTGTGTGGCAACGCTGGCCCTTCCCCAGCCCTGCCCACCTTCACCGGCTGCTCACCAGGGTCGTTGTGGGAGTGCGGCACCACAAACACCTGCAGGGGCTCGGCATCCCACTCGTTGGGCTCGTAGGTGATGTCAAAGCCCTGCTTCCACACACCGCCATCCTGGTTGTCAAAGGGCAGCAGGGAGTACACAGCCAGCATCTGCCAGGGGGGAGACAGGGCTCAGGGCGGACACTGGATTGAGAGACACCCAACTGCGTAGGGCCAGGAGCCCCTGGACCCCGTGGTGTGGACACCCTCGTGCTAGCAGAGATGGGCCCTCACCTGCAGGTCTGGGCTCTGGCCCTTGCTCCCCAGGGCAAACTGGCAGTCCTGTGGGGAGACGGAGAGGAAGCTCGGGCGACTCTCGGGAGGCAGCACCCAGGAGCCATTGGACGTGTGGTGGGGTAGCGCCGGCTGCCCCTCCGCATGGGCCGTCAGCTCTAGCACCGAGTCCTTGATGTGGCTGATGATCTCGTGGTTCTCCTCCAGCAGCTGCTCCAGCTGCTCAATGCGGTTCTGCAGCACCGAGATCTGGCTCTGGAGACACAGACACCGCGGTGAGAGCCTCGGGTGCCCTCTGCCAGGTGGGTCCCGGCCCCGGTGTCACTGACAGCAGCAGGGAAGGAGCCCTGGCCCCCGCCAGCCCCGGCCCCACCGCTCACCCTGGGGAAGTTGCCTCCGCTCTGGTGGCGCGCGGGGTCGTGCTGCACCCGGTCCAGCATCAGGTAGAGGGAGAAGACGGCCACGCAGAAGATGGCAGCTCCGCACACCGTCACCTGCTTCTTCAGCTTCATCCCGAGGGCCGCAGGGACGGACCTGCAGCGGGGCAGACGGGACGGTGCCTCTGCGAGCGCGGCCGGAGGCAGGACGGGGCCCCGGGGACAGGGGCCGGGACAGACCGGGCCGGGACGCTGCCTCCTGCTCCGCGGACCCGGCTGAGCCCTGCCGAGGCGATGGTGCCGTGCCCGTGCCCTGCACAACCGGGCCCCCGCCGGCCCCCGCCGACACCTTCCCCCCCCCCCCCCGCGCCCTACTTCGCTTAATCCGGACCCGGTATTTCCAGCCCGGGCTGGGGCCGCCGCGGGGCTGGGGCCGGGGGCACGGGACGGGGCCAAGGACGGGGCCGGCGCAGGCCGCGGCGCCGCTGAGCCGAGCCGAGCCGAGCCGAGCCGGGCCGAGCCGAGCCGAGCCGAGCCGGGCCGCGCAGCCCGGGGCCTCCGCGCCAGCGCCGGCACGAGGGGGCTGCGCGGCCGCTCCGCTCTTACCCTGCGAGGCTCCGCGGCCCGCCCCGGGTCCTCACATCGCCCGCCCCGGGCCCGCAGCCGCCGCGGCCGGGATGGGCCAGGCCCCGCCCGCAGCTCCGCCCGCCCGGCCCCGGGCCCGGCCCCGGCCCCGCGGGAGGCGGCTCCGCCGGCAGCGCAGCGGGGAGGGCCCCTAGCGCCTGGGGCAGCGCTGCCTGCGCCGTGCTGCCGAGCACTGACCCCGCCGGGACCGCCACCGCCCGGGGCGCGGCCGTCAGCACCCCACAGCCCCGAGGTTGTACCCGGGCACCGCCGAGGTCCCGGGGATTCACCCGGTCATCATGCCATAGCACCGGGATTCACCCGATCATCATCCCGTAACAACGGGATCCACCCGGTCACCATCCCATAGCACGGGGATTCACCCGGTCATCATCCCGTAACACCGGGATTCACCCAGTCATCATCCGGTAGCACCGGGATCCACCCGGTCGTCATCCCGTAACACCGGGATCCACCCGGTCATCATCCGGTAGCACGGGGATTCACCCGGTCATCATCCCGTAACACCGGGATTCACCCAGTCATCATCCCATAGCACCGGGATTCACCCGGTCATCATCCCGTAACACCGGGATTCACCCGGTCATCATCCGGTAACACCGGGATCCACCCGGTCATCATCCCGTAACACCGGGATTCACCCGGTCATCATCCCATAACACCGGGATTCACCCGGTCATCATCCGGTAGCACCAGGATTCACCCGGTCATCATGCCATAGCACCGGGATTCACCCGATCATCATCCCGTAGCACCGGGATCCACCCGGTCATCATCCCATAGCACCGGGATTCACCCGGTCATCATCCCGTAACACCGGGATCCACCCGTTCATCATCCGGTAGCACCGGGATTCACCCAGTCATCATCCCGTAACACCGGGATCCGCCCGGTCATCATCCGGTAGCACCGGGATTCACCCGGTCATCATCCCGTAACACCGGGATCCACCCGGTCATCATCCGGTAGCACCGGGATTCACCCGGTCATCATCCCGTAACACCGGGATCCACCCGGTCATCATCCGGTAGCACCGGGATTCACCCGGTCATCATCCCGTAACACCGGGATCCACCCGATCATCATCCGGTAGCACCGGGAGGTGCCCGGTCATCATCCGGTAGCACCAGGATTCACCCGATCATCATCCCATAACACCGGGATCCACCCGGTCATCATCCCATAGCACCAGGAGGCACCCGGTCATCATCCCATAGCACCGGGATTCACCCGGTCATCATCCCATAGCACCGGCATTCACCCGGTCATCATCCCATAGCACCGGGAGGCACCCGGTCATCATCCCATAGCACCGGCATTCACCCGGTCATCATCCCATAGCACCGGCATTCACCCGGTCATCATCCCATAGCACCGGGAGGCACCCGGTCATCATCCCATAGCACCGGCATTCACCCAGTCATCATCCCATAGCACCGGGAGGCACCCGGTCATCATCCCATAGCACTGGGAGGCACCCGGTCATCATGCCGTAGCACTGGCATTCACCCGGTCATCATCCCATAGCACCGGGAGGCGCTCGGCCATCACCCCGCAGCCCCGCTGCCGCCCGGCTGCCGATGCAGCCATCCCCATGTGCCTTGTCCCGGTGCACCGTCCCGGCTGTACCGCGGGTGCTTGGCCCCTCTGGCTCCCGCAGTCCGTGCTCCCTCGTAGCCGCACGGACGCGGTGCTGCGGAGCCCGTTTGTTTATTGCAGCGGATGGAGGCCGGCAGGAGCTGGGGGTGCCGCGTCCCGGGAGCGCAAACGGGAGCACGTGGGAGGGGTCACAGCCGTGTCCAGGCGCAGCGCCCGCTTCCCAGGCAGAGATGGACGCTGCTGCCGGGATGGACCTGGGCACACGGAGCTGTCCGGAGCGGGCCGGTGGGGCCCGGGGCTCCCCATCACCGGTGCCTCTTGCGGATGGCGATGAGGTCCTGGTGGATGGTGCCGAAGCTGGGCCGCTTGCGAGGGTCGTACTCCCAGCAGCGCTGCATCAGGCGGTACACCTCCTCAGGGCACTGAGGGGGGGGGTCCAGCCGCACGCCTGCGGGGGCAGCCATGAGGAAGTAGCAGCCAGCAGCCCCATAGGCACAGCTCCACAGCAGATCCACTGATCCACCGTGCTGAACATGGCCCCTCATTGCCCTTGAGAGCTAGACCGTGGCACGTCCCTTACCCTGCTCCACAGCCTCACGTGTCTGCTGGTTGTTGAGGTTGGTGTAGGGTACAGCACCAAGGCTGAAGGCTTCCCACAGCAGGATCCCGAAGCTCCAGACATCACTCTCTGAGCTGTATCTCCCTGGGGACATGAGGCAGGCTGGATGCTGGTGCCTGGGGACTGGGGTGCCCAGGTCTTCCTCCCCAGGACTGGGCATGTGGGAGCAGGACAGCATGCCCAGGACTCCCGGCTCCCAGCTGTGCCATAGGGCTGCCAGGCCGTGGCTGGCTCCATCCCATACCATAATTGAGCGCTTCAGGGGCAGTCCACTTGACGGGGATCTGCTTCATCCCCCCTGTGGAGGCGTAGATGCCATCCTCCTCCTCCCGTGACATCCCAAAGTCACTGATCTTCAGGGTGTTCTTCTCTGTCACCAGGCAGTTGCGAGCAGCCAGGTCCCTGGGACAGTCCAGAGCCATCAGCCATGCACCTACTGCGCACCCAGGGGCCCCCGGGCACAGGACGGGGTCAGTGATGGCTCCTGGTGTGCGCCCGAGCCCACCTGTGGATGCAGTGCTTGCTCTCCAGGTACTCCATGCCGGCGGCAGCGTTCTCCGTCATCTTGATCAGCTCCTTCACACGCAGGTGGGGCCCCTCGCTGCGCAGGAAGCTCAGGAAGTCCCCCCCTGCACCCGGGACACGGAGCTGGTGTGGGCTGCCCCGGCACACGCGGGCACCGGCTGCCCCAGCAGCGTGGCGGCTGCAGAGCGGGGCTGCTCACCCTGCACCAGCTCCATGACAATGTAAATGGGCTGCTTCTGGGTGCAGACACCGATGAGCCGGACGATGTTCGGGTGGTTGTACTGCTTGAGGATCCTGCGGGACCAGGGAAGCACACCGTGGGGGGAGGCCAGCTGCCCCAGGCATGGCCCTTGGCACAAAGATGCTGCAGTGCCAGCATGGTTTGAACAGCCCCAGGTCCCAAGGATGGACAAACAGACGGGCTGGGACAAGCGTGATGGCTGCACAGACCTTGCTTCCTGCAGGAACTTGGCCTTGAGTTCGGATGGGAGGGTTTCCCGGCAGGATTTCACGGCGACGGGGGTGTTGTCAGCACGCAGGCGGCCACTGAACACCTCCCCAAAGTTCCCCTGAGAGACACAGGTGCAGCAGCCCAGCTCACCAGTGGCCAGAGGCAACCCCTGTCCTCCCACAGACCCAGTGGGGACAGCCCTGTCCTCCTGCAGACCCCACGCAGGCAGGACTGGAGCACCCTGACTCACCCGGCCGATGCACTCCCCCAGCAGCACATCCTCATGGTTGAGCACCCATTTGTCCTGCAGCGAGCAGACACCAAAGGTGGTAGCTGTCCCCCAGCCTGGCCCAGCCTCACATCCTCTGCCCACTGCCCACTGTCACCTTGGGGATAGCCCTGGCCAGGACGATGCCGCTCTTGCGGGTGACAGGCTGCTGGCTCTGCAGGAGGTGGTCGATGAGCAGCGGGATGGTGGGGAACCCGTCCCCCTCCAGCTGGTACATGTTCTGTGGGGAGGGGAGGCTGACCGGCTGTGCCTGCGCACATGGGCCTGCTCACAAGGACTGAGGTGCAGGGGCTGCAGTGCGTGCGGGCATGTGGCACATGCAGACGTGCATGCCCACGGGCAGGGCACACACAGGTGGGAGTTCGCATGCACGATGCAGGGCTCACGCCCCACAAGGAAGGCACAACTCATCTTCTGCACGCGTGTCCCACGCACTCCCACCAGGGTCCCCCCTCCGCCTGCCCAGGGCTGCCCCGGCCGCACCACCCCTCCTGCAGTCACTCACATCAGCAGCCTGGATGATGAAGTGCCGGACCTGCCCGTCCCACAGCGCGCTGAGCACGTACTCCTGCTTGCCCTGGCTCTCCCGCACCAGGAAGTCCCCGCTGCAGCTCAGCAGCTCCTGCACCTCCGAGCGCGGGATGGCCCCGTGGTACCAGACCTGCTGGCACAGCGGCTTCTGCAGCTCCGGGATCAGGGGCACGGGGGGCGGCAGCTGGGTGGAGGATGGAGACAGGGTGAGCCCAGCCGTGCCCTGGAGGTAGGGCCAGCAGCGGTGCCTGGGAGCGGTGCCCAGGGCAGGGCACAGCAGGCGGGGGGGGCATGGAAAGGAGGGGGCTGTGGAGAGAACAGGGGGTGCCAGGGGGCAGGAGGCTCAGAAAGGGAGCTGGGGCAGGATGGAGGTGCCCAGGGACTCACTGAGTACTTGGGGCTGAAGATGCCCGAGATGTGGTTCCTGAGGGTGTCCAGTGCAGTGCTCCCGCTGCGCTCCTGCTCCTGTGGGACACGAGCTGTGAGCTCTGCTTGGCTGCGGGTGCCCCGAGCCCAGTGAGCCCCATCCCAGGGCCGGCGGGGCAGGACTCACCACGGAGGAGACCGAGTGCCGATCGTCCTGCAGCAGCAGCACAGGCAGTGGCTTCCCGGTCCCCAGCTCCGCCAGCTTGGTGGCCAGCAGGTCTCGCTGCGCCTGCAGCTTGGCCTGCGTGCAGAGGCAGCCCTCGAGCTGCTGCTGCACCTCCTGCAGCCCCTGCCGCTTGCCCAGCAAGTGCACCCTGGGGACAGGATGGGGCGGTCAGACCCTGCTGCATCCCCTTGTCCCCCACCCACCGCAGCTCACCGCTCCCCAGGGCTCCGGCCCTGCTCCTCGCCCCGGATCTCCGCCTGCAACTCCTGCACCCGCTGCTCCTTGCTGCTCACGGCCTCCGTGGCAGACGCCAGCTCCTCCTCAACCGATGTCAGACTGCAGGAGACACAGGTGCCGGTGGCACTGAGCTGCGGTGCTGGTGGCAGTGGGTCCTGCCCGCAGCCCGGCCCCACTCACGAGTGCTGGACACTCTCGATGGTCAGTTCATTCAGCTGCAGCTCAGCTGGTGCCAGGCTCTCAGTCTCCTCCAGCAAGCTCTCATCAAATGACACCACTGGTGGCACCTCGGAGCCGTACCTGCAGGCAGCCAGCGAGGCTCTGCTTCCCACCTGCCCCATGCCAGGCGCCAGTGCCCACGCCTGGCAGAGGCTGCAGCAGCACCAGCTGTACCTGTGGCTCTGGATGAAGCTGCTGTACTCGGTGGCAGGGTTGATGGCCTGGATGGCACCAGCGATTTCCTGGTGCACAGCCAACACATCCTCCTGCACCAGGCTGCTGATGCTGCAGTAATCCCTGAGGATCTCCTTCCTGGGGGGACATGGGTGCTGGGGGCTGCTGGGTGCCACCACCCTGCTGCCAGCGCTGTCACCCTGTCCTGCATCCCGCTGGTGCTCAGGGACCATGGGGGATGCCCAGGGTTGAGTAACGGGGTGCAGGGCAAGCAGCTGGGCAAGCAGAGCTCTTACAGGACGAGGACCATCTCCTGCTGCAGGCTGTAGAGGGACTGGTGGAGGGTGGGCAGTGCCCGCTGGTAGTGGTGGTGGTGGTGGAGTGCGGCTGCCCGCACGGCCAGCACGTACTGGTTGTGCAGGGCATAGAGCTTCCAGAGGCTGCGCACGTACTTCTCCTTTGCCTTCTCCCGCTCCTTGTCTGGGGGGAGAGGCCATGGAAAACACCCGCCGTGGCGCACCAGCGGTCCCAGAGCTGCAGCGCATCCACTGCAGCCAGTGAGGGTCCCAGGGGGTGGGGGGGCTGGGACGGTCACACCGAACCTCCCCGTACACAGGGGTGCTCCCAGCCCACAGCCCTGTGTCCCAAGGCTGCAGCCCCTGGGATGCAGTGGGACGGGGCAGGCGGGGGCCGGGCACCTTTGCTGGCCTCCTGGTACTTGCGCTTGGCCTGGGCACTGTCCCGCGCCAGGCTGCGGTACTGAGCCTTCAGCTTCTCCATCTCCTGCTGCGTGGTCTGGGGAGGGTGACGCCGTCAGCGGAGCAGGGCTGGGGACCCCCGCTGCCCCCCACCGGGACACACGCACCCGGGTGTACTCCTGGCTGAGCTGCTGCCACTGCTCGCTGAAGGCCCTGCGGAGCTGCTGCTTGTCGCGGATGAGCAGGCTCAGCTTGGCCAGCGGCCCCGCCACCAGCTCCTCCGCATGCTGGCGCAGGATCTGGCTCAGCGCCTCCGTCCGGCTCGCCAGCACCCACCAGGACTGCAGGGACAGGGCGTCAGGCACGACGTGGGCACGGCCACCACCCGGCACCGCACCACACATCCCTACCTCCCCGATCTGGCTGCCGTGGTCACCGGCGCGGAGCTGCCCGGGGCTCTCCTGCTTCTCCAGCTGGGAGAACATGTGGTGCAGCATCCCCGCGTACTGCCGGTCGCTCTTGGCGCGCTGCGACATCCACTTCTTCATGAGCTCCAGGAGGCGCAGCTCACTGTCCTGCAGGCGCAGCAGCGCGCTGTGCCCCTGCGGGCACCACAGCTCCGGCCCAAAGCCCATGGCACCGCCGGTCGGGTGTGAGGAGGCTGCAGAGCAGCCCGAGAGCTGAGCCGCGGCTGCTGCCCACAGCAGAGAGCGGTGTCCAGGGGGCCCTTTGCATCCCGCACCCTCCCTCGCATCGCCTGCCACGGGACAAGGTGCCTGGGGGGAGCAGAGCTCTCCCTGCCCACGCCATCTCCTTTGCAAAGCCCATTCAAAGCAGGTGGGAGGGCGGGAGGGTGCAGAGTGCACCCGAGCCCAGAGGAAGTTGGGGCCCATGGGGATGGTGCCAGGGAGGAGGAAGTTTGGGGTCAAAACCAGCAGCGTCACCTCTGCCATGCACAGGGCCGGTCCCCAGGGCAGCGCAGCCGTGACCCCCACCCGGCAGGGACACTAGCCCCATGTGGTCCAGCAGCTCCAGCCCCTCCTGCCACTGGCACTGTCACCCTGAGCTCCTGGGGAGCCTGCAGCAGGGGGCTGTGGCGTCAAGCCCCGGAGGAAGGCGCTGAGCCTGGATGTGTCCCAGCACCCAGGACTCCAACACGGCTGTTGGGAGCCAAACTGGTCCTAGCCATGGTCCCGGCGTATCCTGCCCCATGGCAAAGGCACAGTAGAAGCAGCAGGGTGCTGGGCAGGGCACGTGTCTGTGCAGGGCAGGACTTCCCCTGATGCAGCACTCGACCCCACAGAGGACTAGGGCTGAGAACCCTCCCCAGCCCCACAAAGGGGTCCCTGTCTCTGCCAGCCCCCCAGTGGGGCATGGCCCCTCCAACCTGCGTGTCCCGCGAGGTCCCTGCCGCGCAGCTGGAGCTGGCGTCCTCCTGGGGCCAGGGCCGGCGCAGTGTGGACCCAGTGCAGCTCCGGCTCCTGGGAGGAACAGGAAACCCGGTGCTGACCATAGAGCCATTGCGAGATTTCCTGCCCTTCCTCCCCTCCCTGCCAGTCCCCACACCCGGGCCCACGGCTCTGCCATCACCCACAGCCACAGCCCCGCTACCCATCGCTGCTCCCACCAAGGCCTGGTGCTGGCAGGATTCGGTCCTGCGGGAGCCCTGGGCATCCCATGTGGGCCATTGCCCATGTGGGTCCTGAACCCCATCCCCGCAGATCCCCTTCGGCTGAGCCTGGTCCTGCCTGTCTCCAGGCCCTCTCCATGGCCCTGCTTCCCTGAGAGGCTGCAGGAACTGAGGGACAGCCCCACTGAAGGGGGTGATCCTGTCACCACCCCCAAGCTTGGCCCTTGTCACTGCAAGGGGCCACAGGACAGAGCACTCACTGCGCGGGCACCCATGGGCCATGCCCCAGCCCTCAGCACAGCTGGTTCCCAGCTCCCCACAGACCCAGGTGCTTCCCCCTTCAAATTGCTTCACTGGTGCCACAAGGGGACAGCTCAGCCCCGGCTGATGGCACCACCACCACCACCACCAGCACTGCCACCTGGCACCGCCACACACGTGCCCTGGCTGCCTCCTGGGTAGTTAGTGCTGAGCCCCATCCTGTGCCTGCTGATCCCGCTGTTGGAGGAAGTTGGGGGGAAGAAGCACGTCAGATGGAGCTTTGCTCAGCCTTCCCACATGGGGCAACGCCTGGGTGCTCACACCGCAGGGGAGCTCAATGGCACGGCACAGCACGGCACAGACAGGGGCTGCCACTGTGCCCCGGCACAGCCCCCAGGCAGCACTCAAGTGCACATGGCTTGCCCATCCCCAGGGTCCTGCCTTCTGGGGGGCTCCACCTTACTTGTGCCCCATCCAGCCACACGGAGCACTGAGCACTGTAGGTGGTGGGCTCCCAGGAAACAGTAATTTTCATAGGTTTGAGGGCAAGAGCAGCTGCAGCAACATCCCCACACCCGGCGGCTCCAGGACACTCACAGCGCCGTCACAGGCTTAGCAAGTGTCTGCAAGCCAGGCCAAGGGGATGCTACTCCCACCCCCAGCATCCCTCCTGCATCCCCTGCACCTCCCAGCAGTGCAGCCCCCTCCTGCCTGCTCCAGCTGCAGCAGGGACACGGGGCACCGCTGGTGGGAAGCACCCAGCCTGGGGCTGTGCTGCGAGGGTCCAGTGCAATAGTGAGTGCAGCAGCTCTTCCCAGGAAGCCTCAACCACTGCCCGCAGCACGGAGGGTGCCGAGCCCACACCGCAGCTCACCCAGTTTCACATCCTCTGTCCGTGCTCCTGCAGAGCCCGGTGCGGCTGCAGCCGCTGCCTCTCCGCAGCGGGACCCATCGTGCATCACCCGCCGGCTGCAGCTCCTGCGAGCTGCCAGCATGAGCCCGTGCAGCCCTTAGCCAAGGGGCAGCAGGGGCCTGCCCCTGCCCCGGCCTCCACAACAGCAAGAACAGCGCCTGCAGCCACCTGCACGCTGCAGGGAGCGAGCTCCTGACCACAGGAAGCTGCTGCGGGCGCAGCAAGGCCGAGGGGCTCTGCAGCGGGGCAGCCTCTGCGAGCAAGTGCAGCCCAACGGAGCCTCCTGGGGGTCAGGACCCTACAGGGGGGCTCAGTGGAGCTGAGCTGGGCTCTGCCTGAGGCTTGGCCATGGCAAGGTCCTGGTCCAGCCTGGCCATGCCCAGCGCAGGGGATGCGCTCCAGCTGCAGCGTGGTGTTGGATGCAGCGGCTGCAGCACGGAGGCTCAGCCCGAGTGCTGTGGGAAGGGTGCTCGGGCTCCTCAGGCTCTTCCCGCACCTCCAGCCACTGCAGCCGCTCCTCGAATCAGCTCCTCTCTGTGGGTTCCAGACCAGCAGCTGCTTCGCGTCGCTCAGGGCAGGGGCTGATCCCACCAGGTCCCCAAGCAGCAGCCCCTGCTCACAGCCCAGGCTGGGGGGGGATGCTCTTCTCCTCTCGGGGCGCTTCTCTGCCCTGGCCAGGGGCTGTTGGGGGGACACGGCGCTGAAGACTCCTGCAGCAGCACCGTGGGGCAGCAGCAGCTCCCTGCACATCCCAGCGCAGTGCCTGCTGCAGGCAGTGCCCCAGGACCCTCCTGTGACTGCAGGGCAGATCCGGGCATCCCATGGGCTACGTGGGGCCACGGCACACAGAGCACAGGCAGCTGGGCTGGTTTGCATAGTTCTGAACATTTAATAACTCAGTCTCTCTAGCGTTATATCCACATCCATTAAATTAAAAACAGGCTCAGGAGGCAGCTCCCGGCTGATTAAATTACAAGAAAAAATTACTGTGCACCAAAAAGTTATTATAGAAAAATAGTCCTGTGGCCCCCAGCCGGCGGCTCCGTCCTTGGCTGGCTGCAGCGGGCATGGGCATGGGCACAGGCCGTGCCATGGCCCCGGCGTGCGGACGGCAAAGGGGCTCGTGGCACCTGCCCCCAGCCCACGGGGAAGGGGCGGCGAGGGCAGGCGGTGCCGGGAAGGGGCTCCAGCAGGGAGCAGAACGGATTGTCACCAAGTGGGGGCAAGGCACGTCGAGGGGCAGGGGTCGCCGGGCTCTGCCCAGCGCAGGCAGGGTGCAGGCAGAGCCAGGCGCTGCCAGACTGCCCTGGCCAGCACCCGTACAGCCCTGCCCAGGGGCAAAACAGGCGCAGAGCAGGGGTGCGTGGGGGTCCCTGCCCACGCAGCAGCACTGAGCCACGGTCACAAGGCGCTGCCCTGCCCCATGCTCCCTGGTGCAGGGGGCTCCTGTCCGCGCTGCAGGCAGCCACGCGGGACGGGCAGGCAGCGGGCAAGCAGGCAGCAGCAGCCGAGGCCTGGCCATTATTGCTGTTGAAGGGCACGGGTGGAGGCAGACAGACCCTCGGTGGGTGGCAGGGAGGCGGGATGCAGTGGGCAGAGCCAGGGATGCAGATGGGTGCTGAGGGCGGCAGGGGCAGGGGATGCTGTGGGACAGAGCCAACCCTGGCCAGCCCAGCCTGAGCAGTGACACCCCAGGGACTCACACACTGCCCACCCAGGGGATGTGTGTGACCCCCAGCAACAGCCACCATCCCGGGCAGGGTACATGGCCGCCAGCGCAGGGCCAGTCAGAGACCCTGCTGCCACCACACATCCCAGCACAGGGTCAGGATAGACACGGGGCAGAGACAGATGGAGCCAGACCAGGACAGTGCGGAGCTGGGGAGGGTGCCAGCAGGGCTGTGCCCGGCTGCCCAGGCCAGGGCAAGGGACAGTGCCGGTGGGTGGGAGCCCCGGGCTGCTGTGGTGCGGGACAGGGATGGGGGCAGAGTCCAGGACCCCTCGGCCTTGCCTACCCTGGCCCCATGGTGCTGGGCAGGGAGGAGGGAGGGGCGGGAGGGCTCATCAAAGGGCACTTTGGTCTCTGATGAAGGCAGTCCTCTCGCTGTGGGCCTCGTTGTCCTCACCGTCCGACTCTGAGGGGCCCTCCTCCTGCCAGATGTCAGAGGGGAGCCCCTTGTAGGAGATGATCCCGCTGTCCAGGGCATAGACCTTCACACCCCGCAGGCTGAAGCCTGAGCGCGCCTGCAGCACCAGGAAAATGGTGACAAAGATGACGACGATGATGACGCAGCTGAGGCTGGCAATGAGGACAGGCAGGTTGGTGGGAGGGGGAGCCTCGGCCAGCCCCTCGCCGTCTGCCAGGGCAGGGGACGCACGGCTGCTCTGCGTCTGATGGGAGCAGGAGAGGTCCAGGCTGCTGAAGTGGGAGTGCGCGGGGCAGGTCAGGCACTGGTTGGGGCCAGGACCGGTGCAGGTGGCGCAGGAGGTGTGGCAGGGCAGGCAGAGGTGCGGGGCAATGGGCTCCACGCTGTTCTCCAGCTCGTAGTGTGTGCTCTGGATGCCGGGCGCGAAGCCGGGAGGGCAGTGCTTCAGGCAGCTCTTCTGGTGCAGGTAGTACCCCTCCTCGCAGACTGCGGGACAGGCAGCGTCAGTGCGGGCTGGGGGCTGCCTGTGCCCCACATCCCCATCCCTTACCCACCAGCCCCACACTCACCCACACAGGTCTGGCTGGGGGTCAAAGTCTTGCAGCCGCTGCTCTCCAGCTGGTTGGAGAGGCTCGGGGAGTCAGTGGCCGTCCCGTACAGCACGAGCGTGAACTTGGTCAGTGTGCCTGCAAGGATACGGGTTGAGGACTGCCGATGCGCCCACACTCGGGGCAGACACACGGAGGGGGTTTGCACTGGTCCCCTCCATGGGCTGCCAAAGGACCACAGGGCTCTGCCTATCTCCTGGAGAGTCCCCAGCATGCAGCAATGCCCAGGCACAGGACTGCTGTGGGGCAGGGCCAGGCCACCCAGCATGGGGAGAACCTGACGCCTCAGACCCCACCACTGCCCAGAGCCACGGAATCTCCTCCCATGTGCCCAGCTCCAGCCTCTCCCCAGCAGGTCACTGCAAAGCACCCAAGTGTTACTGCACCCAGAGCTCAGGAGTGCTGGGGGGACACCGGGTGTCCAAGGTGCTCCCACTCTCATCCCAGGCTCGGAGGGAGGCAGCAGTGGGGCTCGGGCCAGCCCAGCCCTACCATAGTTGTTGGCATCGCTGGTGTTCTCGATCTCCAGCACCCATTCCCCAGAGGGGTCCTCGTCCCACGAGTGCGTCGTCATGAAGGCCCAGTCGTTGAAGCCATCGGCCGAGAAGTCGTGGGGCCTGGGCAAGATGGGAGTGTGAGAGTTGGGTGCCCACATCCCACAAACCGAGTGGGGCCAGCCTGAGCCTCGGGCCACCCTGGGGCAGCCCAGCACATACCTGGCAGCCAGGAGGGTGGAGCGGGTGCCCATGGGGCTGACGAGATGGATGGCGAGGTCCCCGCGCCGGTTGTAGGACAGGGTCAGCCGCGCCTGTGCGTGCTCCAGCCGGCTGATGTAGTTGGCTTTCCCCAGGCAGGCGTCCACTTTCCGCCGCACCTCCAGGCGCTTCCCGATGTCCCTGACGAGGGCAGGCAAGAGTGAGTCCAGTCCCAGCCTGGGGGCTCTTGACAGGGTGTCCTTGGTCCTGCTCCCTCCTGCCAGGCCTGGCAGCTGCCCCAGGGTGGCTGGAGCGGGAGTCAACCCCGCAGCAGCTGATGGTGCCTCCTCTCCATCCCTGGTGCAGGCAGAGGGACCTGCCCGCATTCCTGGGCATGGTGGGGTTTGCTCTGCCAAGCACGTGCTGCCTGGTGCCACCTCCCCAGGCACTGCTCCACATCAGCCCTGAATGGGCCCTTTCTTTGCCTGCTGCCAGGCCAGCTACACCCTGCTCAGTGTGGCCAGGGACGGGACAGGCACGGCCGTCCCCATCCCGCTGGCTGGGTGCAGCCATCTCCTGCAGCTGCCCGCAGTGCCAGCACTGGTGCGGGACAGGATGCTGGTCACAAAGAGCACTGGCTCCGGACAGGCAGGCTGGATCCCAGGAGAGGACAAGGGCACAGGCAAGACCCAGCCCCGGCTCGCTCCATGCTCAGAGCCCCCGGGGAGCGCCCTGGCCGCATGCGAGGCTCAGCACATGTTGTGCTGCGGCAGCAGCGGCCAAGCGGGAGTAAAAGGAGCTTCTGTCTGACCCCTGAAAAGCCCCTGTGTGTCCGGGATGACTTGTGCTGGCTGCTCCCAAACCGCAGCACGCAGCACGGCCCCAGCAGAGCGGGCAGGCTCAGCGAGCCATGTCAGCTGAAGGCACCTTCCCCAGCCCTCCCCAGGCTCTCCCAGGATGGTCCAAGGTCTCAGAGGAGCTCATCCCTGGAGATCCTACCCAGCCTTGGACCTGGACCCAGAGGCCCTTGGGCTCCTGCACGGGGCAGTGCACAGGGTGATGCCCTCCTGGGCTCACCAGCCCTTACTTTGGCTCTGTGAGGACGTCGATGACACATTTCCTCTGAGGTCCCACCGTGGTCCAGTTCTTGGCCAGGCTCACCATGGCACCAGCATCCAGCAGCCCGTAGCCATAGGAGTGGCTGACTGTGGACAGAGAGGGGTCAGCGCTGCCCCAGGGCACTCAGCAGGGGCCGCAGCCCCCAGGGCTGCCTGGGGAGCTCTGCCCCAGCACCCCCAGGCTAGCGGTGCTTGCAGGAACCGGAGCCCCTGGTCCCCCCCCAGCACGCCAGTACCTTTGCGGCCGACGCCGTTGGTGACCCAGTCGTTGGCGTTGAGGTGAGCCGGCTTCGACGTCTGCACCACGAGGTGCTGCATATCCCGCCAGGTCAGGTTCTTGCTGCGGGGGAACAGAGGCTCAGGCACCGGTGCCACCTCCTCAGCCCTGGGCAGCTCATGCCACGGCAATGCTGCCCCAGGGGCTACGCAGCACCCCCAGCCCAGCCCCACTCTGAGCCTGCCCTTACTTGGCCTCAAGAGCGAGAGCGATGATGCCAGCGGCCAGGGGTGCCGAGGCCGATGTCCCTGTGTGCGATTCGGTGCATTTCTGTCTGAGGTCGGTTGTCACCTGCAGGGAGCAGTGCCAGGGTAGGAGGTGCTGCGGGCACCAGCCACATCCTGGAGCTGGCTGAGGGGCTTGTGGTCCCCAGGAGGGCTGCAGGAGGTGAGGAAGAGGCCCTGCTCCTGGGGCGGCTCACGAGTTTCATGGAATCATCTTAGAACCATGGTATGGTTTGTGTTGGAAGGGACCTTAAAGCCCATCCAGCTCCAACCCCTGCCACAGGCAGGGACCCCTTCCACTGGAGCAGCTTGCTCCAAGCCCCTGTGTCCAACCTGGCCTTGAGCACTGCCAGGGATGGGGCAGCCACAGCTTCTCTGGGCACCCTGTGCCAGTGCCTCAGCACCCCCACAGGGAAGAGCTTCTGCCTAAGAGCTCATCTCAGTCTCCCCTCGGCAGGTTCAAGCCATTCCCCTTGGCCTGTCCCTGCAGGCCCTTGTCCCAGGCCCCTCTCCAGGTCTCGTGGAGCCCCTTTAGGCACTGGAGCTGCTCTAAGGTCTCCCCTTCAGGAGCCTTCTCTTGTCCAGGCTGACCCAGCCCAGCTCTCTCAGCCTGGCTCCAGAGCAGAGCTGCTCCAGAACCACTCAACTCATGAGACCGAGCTCTGGGAATGACCTGGAGGGTGGCAGCATGGCAGAGGGGGGCCAAGCCCGCTCCCAGCACCACAACTCCCAGAGGGATGCCATGGGAGCTGCAGCTTGGCACATCCCAAACCCATGAGCCCCCACCCTGCTGACACCAGCAGCCCCAACTCACAATCTGCTTCTCGTTCTGGTTGCCGCTGCTGTACGTGGTGGCGAGGGTGGAGGAGCAGGCCTCGCTGTACCAGGGCACGTTACCGTACTGCGTGGTGCTGCTGATGGACAGCGTGTAGATGCTGTTGGTGTAGCCATCGCAGTTGCAGCTGTCGTGCTCACGGCCCCCGTTCCCGGATGCCCAGACGAAGATGGAGCCCAGCCCTCCTCGGCCCTGGCAACAGAGCAGGGTGAGGGCCAGCACCACGGCACTGGACTGCCGGCAGCCCCAGGCTGGAGCTGTGACCAGGGCGGTGCCAGCTCTGCCTGGGGCTCTTGCAGCCTGAGCAGGAAAGACTGAGCAGATGTAGCGGGGACACAGGAGACAGCAGGATGCCCCCGGCCACAGCCTGGGCGCTGCCAGCCCCCAGCACCACTGAGCCCATGGAGGGTGCTGGGGCAGCCCTGGGGAGGCTGCACGAGCTGCCCCAACAGGGAGAGTACTGGGTGGCAGGAGCCCTACTGAAGAGGGTCTTCCAAGCCCTGACGTCCTTTTCCACTTGGAAACCACCCAGGCTGATTGGATTTGCAGCTGCCCCATAGGAGCTGCACCACGGCAATGCCAAATGCTGCGCTCACAGCACAGGGAGCAGGGGGAGGACAAGAGGAAGCAAGAGAGAGCAGCTGGCATGAAACCAGGCAGGAGCCAGCACAGGGCTTTGAGAGCAGCGAGAGGCTAGCCCAGAGCAGGGCTGTGCAGGAGCACAGGGTAGGGAGGACAAGACTTCTCAGAGAGGCGAGATAAGGGGCACGGGAGGAGCCCTGACTCAGAGCCATAACACAAGAAGAACAGGAAAAACCAACAGAGCCTGATCCTGGAGATGAGCTGAAAGACAGCTCATCACAGGAGGGCTGCGACAACAACCAGGGCAGGCAGAGCAAGGGATTACAGGGGCAGCTCAGCCGACACTCCCCGGGCAAACTCCCTCACCTGGCTGACCCCTCGGAAGAAAGCCTCCTCCGCCAGCCGGGCCGGGCCATCCACAGTCTTGCCGTCATCCTCCGGGCCCCAGCTGGCACTGTAGATGTGGATGTGGTTGGGATTGAGGCCCAGGGAATGGGCCTCCACAGCATCAGTCACCTCCCCATCCAGCATGCGCACGCCTAGGGCCAGAGAGCAGATGTCACGGGTGACCGGACGCGGCAGTGACGGTGTGCCCCCCTGCACTGCTGCCGCCCTGCACCAAGACCCCCGGCACAGCCGCTCCTCCAACATCAGGCCCTGTGGAGCCCAGCGCAGGCTCTGCTCAGTACAGGGCAGGATGGCACCCACCTCCGATGCGGGCGTTGTAAGCAACGCCGACACCACAGATCCCGTTGTTGGCTACGGCAGCCACTTCCCCAGCGCAGCGTGTGCCATGCCTGCAGGAGAAACAGGGCAAAGCGTGCTCAGATGGGGTGTGAGGAACACAGGGCTCAGCACCGGCTGCAGACAGAGGCCCCAGCACCCAGGCTGCCTCCCGTCCTCCCAGACCGTGCAGCCAACAAAGGCCCCTCAGGGGTCCTCCATCAACCCTCCTGCTCCAGAGCAGGGAGGACTCAACAGCCTGCACTGGCACTGGGCAGCCACAAAGGATGCTGCTTGCATTGGAAGAGCATGCAGGAGGCTTTCTCTGTGGGGCAGAAGTGTGCCACCACCCCTGTGATAGTGCTGCTGTTGAGCCACTGCCGCAGCTCGGCTCTGCTGCCCTCACCTCTGCCTCCTGCCTCACCTGTTATCATTCATCTGTGTGTAGCGGGGCTGTGGGTCTGGGTCCTGGTCGTTGACATCAAAGCTCGCTCCTGGATCCTGGAATGAAGATCTGGTAGTCAGAGACCATATGCCTTCACCACTGAGCCCCACCACCCTGGGCCCATGCCTGTGTTCCATGGCCCTGAGGCTGGGCTGAGTGATGGGGCAGCTCCAGTCCCACCTCCATCGCTTTCCTGCGTATCCCACAGCAGCAGGCACAAACCCCGCACCATGCAGCTTCAGGGTTGCATCAGGCAGCTGCAGACACATGGACAGGCTCCTGCGGCACACCACTTTGTGGCATCAGCCCTCACTCACATAGTTGCCCTCCAGGTCAGGGTGGTTCTTCTCAATTCCGTCATCCAGGATGGAAACTACGATGCCCTTGCCTGTGTAGCCCTGCTCCCAGGCCTGACGCACGTTCAGGTCCCGCTGGTTGGTGTTGTACTGTCAAGAGAAACCTCAGCAATAGGAACTGCACCCAGCTGCTGGTACTGCAGTGCCCGGACCCCTCCCAGCCTTCACCCTGCTCTGCTGTGGAATGAGGATGAAGAAACCCTCCCAGGGGCCCAGGCACAGGGGGCCTGGCAGCAGGCCCTGGGGTGCCAAGTCTGTGCCCGCGCTGCGCTGACCGCACGGCTCCCCCCCTCGCCCAGCACTCACCAGGTACCACTGCTGCGGGAACTTGGGGTCTGTGGGCTCCATGAAAACGTCGCGCTTGGTCCTGCGCTTGGCTACCTGCTGCTCCAGCCACTGCACCTGGGCGCAGAGAGCACAGCGGGCTCGCAATGAGGCCAGCAGCTCGCCGGGACCCTGCCCTGCACCAGCAGCCTGGGGACCCCACTGCAGCTACCAGAGCCAAGCCTGTCCCCATGCCCTGCCCTGCCGAGCAGAGCCACGGCGGGCAGCAGCGCCGGGCGCCCCGAGCCAGGCTGTGCTCCAGTGGAGCACGGAGGACAGAGCGCAGAGCTCTGCTGCACCGCGCTGCACGCCCTGCTGCACCACCAGCCCCACTGCACCGCCACGCTGGCGCCCGGCACTGCTGGCACTGCCCTGTCCCCATACGAGGGCATAGAGCCCTTCACGGCACAGAGGCTGCCCCATGCCCTGGCACCAGTTGGAGAGATCCTAACCCTCACTAGGAGCATTGTGTCCAGTTCTGGTGTCCTCAACATAAAAAGAACATGGAACTGTTGGAACAAGTCCAGAGGAGGCCACGAGGATGATCAGGGGCTGGAGCACCTCCCGTATGAAGACGGGCTGAGGAAGTTGGGGCTGCTCAGCCTGGAGAAGAGAAGGCTGCGTGGAGACCTCAGAGCAGCTTCCAGTATCTGAAGGGGGCCTATAGGGGTGCTGGGGAGGGACTCTTCATTAGGGACTGTAGTGATAGGACAAGGGGTAACGGGTTCAAACTGAAACAGGGGAAGTTTAGATGGGATATAAGGAGGAAATTCTTTCCTGTTAGGGTGGTGAGGCACTGGGATGGGTTGCCCAGGGAAGCTGTGAATGCTCCATCCCTGGCAGTGTTCAAGGTCAGGTTGGACAGAGCCTTGGGTGGCATGGTTTAGTGTGAGGTGTCCCTGCCCATGGCAGGGGGGTTGGAACTGGATGATCTTAAGGTCCTTTCCAACCCAAACTATTCTATGATCCTGTGATCACAGCAGCCCACAGGCCAGTGATGCTGGCACTGCTGATCCCTGCCCCTGCCAGACACATGCCAGGCTCCCACCCAGCTCTGCCAAGAGCCTCAGTGCCAGGGGATGGCTCCCGGCAGCTCAACCCATCCTGTGCCTGGTGCTGGCTCACATGGCAGTGTAAGTGGCCAGAACCAAAGCCAGCCCCCGCAGGCATGGCCCCCACTGCACGTACCTGGGGTTCCCTGGCCAAACGGCTGTGCCAGGGCTGGTGGGGTGAGAGGGAACGCTTCACCACGCCACTGTGCCGAAAGTGGTAATAGTCACCAAAGATCTGCAACAGAGAAAGGAGTGGGACGGACGTGAGAGGCCGGTCTCCCCCATTCCCTGTCCGCTGCCTGCAATCCCAAGCTTGTGGCAGGCACAGGTAGGCTGAGTCCCCACTCCAGAGTGGCTGATGAGGTTTATGTCAGGTGCTTGGGGCAGAATGTCCTGCAAGAGGCTGCAGCAGCTCGTGATAAGGAAGCTGGGGAGACCGTGGAGCCACCATGACACAGCCTGTGCCCACCTCTCCCTCCTGCCTGCCCCCACAGGGCACCAAGACCCACAGTCTAACAAAGCTGCTGCCCTGGCAGGGAGGCCCCAGGCAGGCAGTGGCAGAGAGGGACAGGTCTGTGGGAGGCAGCGTGGGAGAAGCACCAACTTCAGGAGGCAAAACTGCCCCTCCCAGGGCCACCCTGCACCCCTGCCACCGGTGCAGGAGGGTCCTGGTGGGGCCCAGGCAGCCCCAAGCAGGCAGGGAGGGTCCAACCCAGGCTCTGCTCCTGCGGACAGGCCTCCAGCAGAGCCCTTCTCCCACCCGTGCCAGGCTCCACGTCGGGGCAGAGCCAGCTCCAGCGGGGCCAAGCGCAGGCACACGCAGTGGGGGCAGCTGCCACGCAGGCGCTGGGCAGCACTATCCAGCTCCGTGCGCGGGGACTGGGGCTGGGCCAGGCCCCGCAGCCACCACAGGGTTATTTATACACCCCGAACCCTCTCCAGTGCTGTCATTTCCTGATCCCCTCCCGCACGTCCCCGGGGGCTGGCCGGGCTGCGGTGACCCAGCCCTGCTGCGCAGGACTCGGCAGCCAGCTCGCAGCGCAGGGAAGGGGGCTGAGTGCCCACCTCGCCCCCCTCGCAGTCATGGTTCCTGGGCAGTGGCTGCAGGCAGGATCCCAGTGCAGCACGGCAATAACCCCCCACCCGCTGGTGCTATCCAGGGAAGCCACAGACCATGCTGGCTCCCCAGGACATGCGGGTGCGCTCCCCAGTCCTGCTCCTGCCCTGTGCCGGCGGAGGGAAGGCAGGACTCACGCTGCAGCTCTGCAGCCCTTCCCTGCAGGGCACAGGCTGGAGCCCCGGCACAGGGGGCTGCAGAGCTGCAGCCCTGCCTGCTACAGCAGCATCGCCCCTCGAGTCACTGGGGACAGAGCCGTGCCTGTTCCCTGCAGCACACGGTGTCCCCCAGCATGGCCTGGGACGCACGCAGCTCAGAGCACCCAGGGAGGTGCCAAGGCAGAAAGGCTCTGCCTGGGCAGGCAGAGGGGACAGGGAGCTGCAGGCTGGCTGCCCTGCCCCAGCACCCCTCAGGGGTCAGGACAGAGAGCGGTTGTTCCTGCGCCATCATGGCTCTGCTGGTCATCCGGCTGGATTAGGTCTGCACAGACACTGCGGTGGCCGGCAGGAGCCAGCCAGCCCACACGTTTCCACCCTAATCCCACAGTCCCTGTCCTCAGCAAGGGCAGAGCCATCCCCGGGCAGGCAGCATCGATCCTACAGACGCTGGTGCCAGCTCACAGCTCCTGCCTCATCTTCCAGCCTGTGGCCACCTCGGCCAGTCCCTCTCCTCTGACCCCAGCACTGTCACTTGGGTCCCCTTCAAGGCCACCAGCTGTGGGTCCCGGCACCTCCCTGCCTGAGGCTCCCTGGCCAGGGCACTGCCCGCCCCAGCTCCACAGGCAGGGAGGACGCCAGGACAGTGCACTTCCGAGGACAGTGTCCAGGCTCCACGCTGAGGCCAGAATCCTCTCAGATAAGGACCCTGTGGGCCTCTCACTGGGGCACTGCCAGAAGCCCCCGGTCCCCCCTCTTCCAGCCTGGCTGCCGCATCCTGCCCCAGTGCCACACACACCCCCAGGAACAGCAGCCCAGAAACCCGCCAGGAGGGAAACTCTGGCTCCTTCCACTCCTGCTCTTCCTGCCAGGCTGCCACGGCCCCTCTGTGGGAGCGGGCTGCTGGGGCCAGCCAAGCCTCATCCTGCAGCACATACACCGGGATGGGCTCCAGAACGGCACAAAACGTGCCCAGAACAGCAGCTCCTGCCCCAGCTTGAACTGCTGCAGCCTGCGGGGCTCTGCCTGCAAGTGCTGCCTCGCCGCTGCTCCGCTGGCAGCTGCGGGGCTGGGAGTGGGGGGAGAGGTGCCAGCCTCTGGCCGCAGAGCCAACAGCGCAGGGAAAAGGTGAGGGCAGAGCTGGCACAGAGCCCCCACGGCTCACGGGGACAGACCCCAAACAGGCCTGGGCTCCCCGCCAAGCTGTGGGGCCCTGCAGAGCTCTGCACCACAGCCCAGGGCCAGCAGAGACACGGGCACAGAGCCTGGTGCCCCTTGGCCCTGGGACCCGGCACAGCAGCTGGTGGCACCTCAGCCCTGTTCCTGCTCCCAGGGGTCTCAGCACAGACCTGGCCCCGCAGGACATGTCCTGGGCTGCTCTCCTGGTCCCCTCTGCACAGCAGTGGCCCGGGCCCAGCCCATCCTTTGCCCTGATGCTGGCTCCAAGACACTTCCACGCAGACAGCACGTGTGTGAAGCTGTCCCATTGCCCGTGCAGCAGACACCCAAGTGAGGCCTGGCCCCAGCCCCTACAGAGTTCCCTCCTCTGGCGTGAGCCCCAGAGGACAGAGGATTCCCTGTCCTCAGAGCCCTGTGTGCCCATCACCTTGGGAGGGGCAGCACAAGGCACCCACCCGCAGCAGCAGCAGCCACCATGCTCCCCACCCGCCACCGCTCGAGGCCATTGCTCACAGCGAGGTCCTGACACCGCAGCCACCGGTTGTGCAATTTCCTCTGGGATTTCGCCCCTCGCTTCCTTCCCGGAGCAGCCAGCCCAGTGCAGGGGCAGCGTCCTGCTCCCAGGGCAACAGACCCCCGGGCACGCAGGCAGCCCGAGGGCGCTGGCACAGCCACGCAGCCGCATCTTGCTGGAGCAGTGGCTGGGCAGCTCCTCGTGCCTGGGCAGGGGCCTGGGGGTCCCTCTGGGCCAGCCCTGCTGCACCCACTCCCATGGGATCCCCTTGCCCCACTCCTTGGTCACAGCAGCCATGCTGGTGCCAGCTCCATCTACAAAGCCCCCGCATGCTGCCAGCCCAGAGCCTGCACCCTGCCCATGGCACAGGATGGAGAAAAGCTCCATGGATCAGGTTGTGCCAAGCGCACACCTGCAGCCGGCCAGGGAAAGGGCTGCCAGGAGCAGGAGCACTGGGGAGCTGGCCCTGCCAGGGCTGCCAGGAACAGAGCGCTGCAGAGCTCCTCATGCTGGGGACAAGCCCAGGGACCCCTGCTCCTTTGCCATCACCCCATTCTCCCCACCCTGGTGCCAAAGACTGACAGCCCCAGCACAGCCGCCAGCACTGCCCCGTCCCTGGCTGAGCACAGAGAATGCTGAGTGCAGCAGGGACCTGCGGACACCTCCTGTGAAGGGCAGTTCAGGGCCAAGGACACGCGGCTGCTGTCGGACCACCTGCTCCGGGGACACCAGGAGGTGCCGGTGCTGCCCGGCTGAGCCATGGCTGTGCCACACTGGGGCAGCTCAGTCAGGAAACGGGAGCACTCTCCTCCTCCACCAATGCAGAGCATTCCTGATGTTTTCATGCTGGAACGGGCTTTTCCTCCTTCCTGCTCCAGCAGGCAGAATGTGCCACGTTGTGTTGTGCCACCAGACTGCCCCAGTGGCAGTGAGAGACCCTGGCTCCATCCAGCTGTTGACCACCCTTGATTCAACACAGCGGATGCTGCAGCAGCTGAGCAAGAATGCAGTGGTACTGCTGCCCTAAGCTAGCTCCAAACTGAACCCAGAATCCACCCAGGTCATGGCAGAGCCAACCACTTCCATGGGGAAAGGGAAGCAGGGCACTTACCAGGCCCAGGTTGAGGAATCCATGCTTCCTGGCCAGCCTGTCAGCCTCCTGTGGCCCCGCAGGGACGAGCACGGCCCACGTGTTGGTGTAAATACGCTGGGCCAGCACCTCCTGCGCCAGGAGAGCGAGGGCAACCACCAGAGTCCAGAGCAGGAGCAGCGAGCAGGGCCTCAGATCCATCAGAGTATCGGGGCTCCTCGAGGTGGGGAGCAGGAGGGTCCCGGGAGCGGTGGGTCCAGCGGCCTCCCTGCTTCAGCACCCCGGGGCACACCAGCCTCTCTGCCCCGCTGCTACCCGCTCAGCCCAAGCGAGCATGGGGATGAGCCCGCAGCAGCCAGCAGCAGGAACAGACAATCCAGGACAGCAGCAGGATCTGCAGAGACATGGAAAAGGGGTCAGGCCCTGGGGTGCCACTCCTCAAGCCTGGGGAGGGCAGGCCCTGCCAGGCCAAGCCGTGGCTTTGGCTCTGGGCGAAGGACCCTGGGAGCATGGGTGGCCACCAGGACACGGGGCTGCGAGGAGCCATGGCACTGGCTCCGCAGGGTGCCCCCGGCTGCAGAGCCGCTGTTTACTCTGCCTATTGCCCAATGTGTACTTATGCTCTGTGCCTACAAGCTGCTTCTCCAGTCCCAAGGGGGGCCAAAGGAGATGCCCCCATGCACTGTGTGAGGAAGCCCAGCTAAATGAGAGACACTGGAAGGAGGGCGAGCCCCTGCTCTCTGGTGAGCAGAGCCATCGCTGCTGGTAGCAGCACCCAGCGCCGTGCTGCCTGTCACCGTCAGCAGCTCAGCTCTGCCCTTCCTCTGGAGCACAACATGGTGACACCGGCGTGACTCATCTCCACAACAGAAAGGAAACTGGCACAGGGACAAGGAAAAGGGGCACACCGTCACCTCCAGTACAAACCAGGGCCTGGGGACAGCTTGCACCAGGCCAGAGGGCAAGGACAAGAAAGAAGCTGGAAGGCAGGTGGGAAGCAGAGCAGGGAGCGACCCACACAGCGCATGCAGTGCGTGCTCCACAGGGACACCGTAATACCTGGTCATGGTCCAGGGACAGCAGGAAAGGTGAGAGGCAGCAGTGCCCAGAGGAGCCCCATCCCCCTCCCGCAGGCAGCGGGCTCGGGAGCAGGGAGCCTGCGGCGCTGCGAGGCGAGGAGAGCAGCTCCGGAGCCGCCTGAGCCCTCGCCGCGGGCTGCAGCACACACAGCGCTGGGGCTCCCCCTCAGCGACCAGACCGCGGCCACGCTGCCGAGGCACCCGGAGCCACGAGCACCCACCAGCGGCTGGACGGGAGCCCTGGGTCCCAGACTGTGCCAGGGCCCAAATCACAGTTTCCAGTGGGAAACACTCCCAGAGCCCTCACGGAAGGGAAAAAGCTACTGCACAAGCGGAAAGCACAGCACAAGGGGACACTGCCACGGCTGGTGCCTGTGCCAGCACCGCACCCCCTGACCAGGTCCCTGCGGGCAGTCTCCTCTGCTGTGCCGGTCCCGGAGCCGGCAGCCACCCGCTCCCACGTGGGGAGCAGGCTGCAGCGGGGCCCTGCCGCGGGGTGCAGAGCCCGGCCCCCGCGGCCCCGGCCCTCCAAGTGCCCCCAGCACAGCCCCGGAGTCCCCGGCAGCGCCGCTGCCCCGCCGGCAGATCCCGGGCCTCGTGCCCCCGGAACGGGATGAGGAGGAAGCGGCACCGGGACAGGCACTGCAGGGCAGCGGCACGGCGGCGGCCGAGGGGACACAAGCCGCCCCCCCCCCCCCCCCCGCAGCCCCACAGACAGCTCGGTGCCGATCACACCCGGCACACGCGGGGCAGAGGCCGGCCGGGATCCCTCCCGGCACCGATGGACACCGGAGCCCGGCTGCCGCGCGGGGCCGAGGCCCGCGGAGCCGCCGTCCGCCCGCAGACCGGCGGGGCGACGGCTGCCTGCGAGGGCGGCCGGGCCAGGCAGGCCCGCGGGCGCGACGGGACGAGGCCTGGTCCCTTCTCGCCCGCGGCGGCGGCTCCGGTCGGTCCCTCCGACAGACCCAGCGCGCGCTCCCGGCCCCGGCCCCCCCCCACCGCGGCGCCGCCTCCCGCCCCGGCCCCGTCGCCCCCCCGGGGTCCCGCCCGGCCGGGGCCGCCGCAGCTGTCAAACCGCCGGCGCCGGCGGGTCGAGCCGTGCCCCGGCCGCGTCCCCGTGCCCTTACCGCGCGGCCTGCCCGCTCCCGTCCCGCCGGCGGCCGGGCCCGTCTGTCGGCGGCGCCGCGTCACTCCGCGGGGCGCCCGGAGCGCCCGCCCCGGAGCCGGGCCCGGCCCAGGCAGGGGCGGCCGGGGCGGCCGGCGGGGCCGCTTGTTTACGCCGAGCAGCTGTCAGCGCCGCCCGCCGCCCCGCCCCGCCCGGCCCCGCTCCGCTCCACTCCGCTCCGCTCGGCCCGGCACTGCCCGGCCCCGGCCCCGCTCGGCCCGGCCCGGCGCGGCGCGGCACGGCCGCCGCTCCGCCGGGCGCCGCCGGATGCCGTCACCGCCGCCGCCCGCCCCCCCCCCCCCCCCCGGGGCACTGCGAGAACCGGTGCCGCTCGCCCCGCCGCGGGCAGACCCACCCTCAGCCGGCACCGGCACCTCCGATCCCCCGTGGGGCCGCCCATGCCGCGGAGCGAGAGGCCCGGATCAGCCCCGGGAGCTGCCAGAGCTCCCGCGGGCCCCGGCTCCGGGCAGGGTGCGAGGGCGCCCGCAAAGACCGGCGCCCGGAGCCGCCCTGCCTCCCGTGCCGGTGCCGCGCACAGCGGGGGGCTCTGCGGCGCGGGGCACGAGCTGACCCAGACCGGCCCGTTCCAGCCCCGGGGCAGCGCGCTCCTCGCCCGTGCCGATGGGATCACCCGCTGTAAGCGGGGTCCCGGCCCCGCTGAGCAAGTGCCCTGGAACCAGCGACACGAGCAAAACCCATCAGCCCGGTTTCAGGAGAGGGATTCCCACAAGGAGAAAAGGTGAGAAGTGAAGGCGGCTCATCTCAGCTTCGGCCGTTCCAAACACGCAACACACCCTTGTCCATCGCATCGCGGCTGGAGCAGTACAAAAGTCAGGTCAAGCACAGAAAGCAAAAGCAGCAGAACCCAAACTGACCTGGATCCTCTGCAGCTCTGAAAGCGTCTGGGCAGCCCTGGGAAGGAGCAGGTCCTACGGCTCCTCACAGAGAAAAGGAAGTCACTCGGATATCATGATCGAGATCATGAAGCATTAGCAATCGCACAGGAAACAGTCACCTTGGTAACTGAGATGCTGAGAACAGCCCAGAAAATCTGGCACAGGGCAGGTTTCTTTGCAAAACCTGCCTGTGTTTAACCTGGCAGCAGCCTTTTGCTGGGGCAGCGACTCAGCATGGGCCGACCCCAGTGTATGGCCCCAAGACCACTGGCCACGGGGGTTGCAGCACCCCAGGCCCAGCCTCTAGGACCATGGACCCACCAGGCAGCCCAGGGGGAAACCTGGCACCCCTTGGACACACAGCACTCACCACTCTGGTCAGCTGGAGGGCCCAGGCCAGCTCCTGGATGTGCAGCTGACCCCAGAGTGCCCCACAGAGTTATAGGGTGCTCCGTGTGTCAGGGGCAGGTCCCGCTGGTGAGGGGGGCAGTGAGCTGCACCCTTGCGCCCTCCCCAGCACCCACCGACATGTCTGGATTAGGCACTGGCTGTGCCCAGGCAGGTGACAGCCGCTGCGCCTGAGCCGGTGACATGTCACTGCAGAGAGGAGCTGACAAAGGGCCCTTGTCACCACGGGGCTTATCTCAGTGCCACGGGGCAGGCAGGCAGGAAGAACCTCTCTTACATAAACCAGCTTTGGACCCACTGCCTACCCGACAGCCCTGCCAGAGCTGGGGAGCGCTGGGCCATGGTACCTATCCTAGAATCCCAGCCTGGTTTGCGTTGGGAGGAACCTTAAAGCCCATCCAGCTCCAACCCCTGCCACGGGCAGGGACCCCTTCCACCAGAGCAGCTTGCTCCAAGCCCCTGTGTCCAACCTGGCCTTGAGCACTGCCAGGGATGGGGCAGCCACAGCTTCTCTGGGCACCCTGTGCCAGCGCCTCAGCACCCTCACAGGGAAGAGCTTCTGCCTAAGAGCTCATCTCAGTCTCCCCTCGGCAGGTTCAAGCCATTCCCCTTGGCCTGTCCCTACAGGCCCTTGTCCCAAGCCCCTCTCCAGGTCTCGTGGAGCCCCTTTAGGCACTGGAGCTGCTCTAAAGTCTCCTCTTCAGGAGCCTTCTCTTGTCCAGGCTGAACCAGCCCAGCTCTCTCAGCCTGTCACAAAGCCCCAGTATGGATGGTATCTACTTCCCCAGCAACCTTCCAGGGTCACTGGGCTGAATCTGAGCAGTGGCTGCTCCCATCTCTCTCAGCTGTGCCTACATGGCTACCACAGCATGAACTCCTCTTGGACACTTGACTGACCTCGCTTGGAGGCATCAGTGCTCTGTGCAGTGACTCCCAGCTCACAGGCAGCTCTGTGCCTGTCAGGTGATTCCCGCAGCATCCCCCCAGGAGCCCACACAGGCACAGGCAAACTGCTCACCAGGGCTGGGGGGAGACCCCCCTTGCTGCTCTGTGCCAAGCACACCCTGGTGTGGCCCAGCAGCAGCCCAATCAATGCAAACCTACTTCCGGGAAAAAAAAACAGGTCAATTTTTGGCTTCTGGGCTGCAGAGGTTGCACAAGCTCCCACAGTGATGCAACTGCCCACTTGCCCCAGAGCAGGGCAGCACTGGGGCTGCAGCTCTGCCTGCAGAGCCCCTGTCGCCCAGAAGGCAGACTGGGGAACCCTTGGAGGAGGGGCAGAAGGTCCTCACGAACAGTGGAGAAACCCAAGGAATGGGCAGGCATGCGACGCCCAGGGGGACCAGACCAGTACCTGAATGTTTAGCTGGAGCACAGCAACCCACTGTCCCCCATGCCCGTGTTGCAAACACTTCCCAGCCCTGCCCCCTGCACTTGCCTGCGCTGTTCCTCAAAGCTGCAGCCACTTTCCTGGGAGCCCCCGCCCTCTCCTCACCACTGGACGCTATGAACAGGCTCCTGGGAAGGTCCTGGTGCCGCGGAGCTGGCACTGCCCTGGGTCCACCAGGAGCTGCGCTCCGCAGGGCCCCGTGGCTCAGGAGGTTCTGCCCATGGCCACGCTCCCAGACACAACATCACCGCAGGGACTGCGGGCCCTGACCTTGTGCTGCGGTGCCACTGCAGACACAAACACCCGCAGCTCAGGCACTTCTGTGACCTTATCTACATCCCACGGTGCGGCTCCTGCTCTGGGACATGGCAGCGGCGCTGTGCTGGGGAGAGGGACTCCTACCACGTCCCCAGGTACCTGATAAGGGTAGGTCAGCTCCACAACACCCCGGTGCCTCGATGGAGCCGGCAGCCCAGGGCAATGTGCCATTTGGCTTCTCCAGCTCGGGCAGAGCAGACACATCACAGGCTGAGGGCCACCTCTCGCCACAGCCTCCAATGCCCATGGTCACAGGACCCAACCAGGCCCTCAAACCATTTCCCTGTTTGCCCAGGTCTTTAGTTTGCCTTCACCTGAACAGGACACCATGTGCTTTGTGTGCAGCTCCCAGTCCTCACTTTAACTGATGTGCCTACAAGTCCTGTGCTGACACCTGCTCCTTGCCATGGCAGTGCAGGACTCAGGAGGTGGGAAAACACTGACAACCCTCACGCAGAGTGGGAGTTCCAATTGTCATCTGGGCACAAGGGCCGAAGGCAGAGGAACGAGCTCTTGCTTACAACTGGGCAAAGCTGGGGAGGACATCGGCTGCTGTGGGGTTACAGCTACTATTGCCTCAGGTGCTACAGCAAACCATAAACTGGGGGGTACCAGGGAGCCCTGCGCATCCCACGGCACCCCTGTCCCTCCTCCCCGCACAGCTCCAGGCCGTCCCAGCCCCTCTGGCTGCTGCAGGGACGTGCTGAAGCTGGGGTGCACCAGAGGCAGACTGGTGCAGCCCTGAAGCAGCAGCGGCGGGTTAAAGCACGGCTCTGGCCCGTGTCCCAAATTCCCCCTCGCAGGGAGCCAGCGGACTTCCCAGAAGAGGAACCAGCTTCCTCTCTGTGGAGGAAGTGGCGCAGGATGGCAGCCGCGGCGGCGGTGCTCTGGGACTCAGTTCTCAAGAGGCCCCATCTGTGCGGGTGGGAGCTGGAGCCGGGGCCGCCCCAGCCGGGCCCCGCGAGGCCTCACGGCCCCCGTCTGCTGACGCGTGCGGCAGGAAAACCCCGCTCGCAGCGGAGCTGCCACAGCCGCTGCCCTTCCGGGCAAGAGGCCACTGCCGGGACCTCACCGCTGCCACCGGCAAGCGCAGGGGCGGCCCCAGCCCCGCAGCACGGCCAGAGGCTCCTGTGCACCAGAAACAGCGCCGCCTCTCGGTGCCGGCTGCGCCCGGGGCTGCCCTGGGGCTTGGTGGAGCGGGGCCGGAGCGCTGGAGCTCGGCTCCGCCACCGGCCCCGCGGGAGTCACGGTGACGCCGAGCACTCGGTGTCCCGGCGGCCGAACCGCGGTGTCCGGCCCGGCGCAAAGCAGCTCCGTACCCAGGAGGGTGGCAAGGCCCTAAAGCCAGCGCCGCCGGTCACCGAGACCACGGCCCCGGCCTGGCACGGCGGGAGGCCCCGCGCAGGGGGCCGGAGCTGGAGCTCCCCGGCCGTGAGCGGGATCCCGGCCCCGGCGCTGCCCCTGCGTGCCGCGGCACGGCGGCCGGACAGAGCCGAGCCGAGCCGAGCCCCGGGGCGCTCCGCTCCCGCAGCGCCCAGCACCAACAGACACCGGCGGCCCGCGGAAGTGACCCCGCGGTGATCGTCACTTCCGCCGGAAGCGGGCTGCTGTCCCGGTTCCGGTGAGCGGCGGCTCGCAGCCGGTGCGGCGGGCGCGGATCAGCCAGGCCCCGCGGCACCATGGCGGTCCCCAGCGCCCTCATGAAGCAGCCACCGATCCAGTCCACGGCGGGCGCCGTGCCCGTCCGCAATGAGAAGGGTAAGGGGGGGGGGCGCGGCCGGGTCCCGGCGGCGGGGCAGGCTCGGGGACGAGGGGCCGCTGGTAACGGCCCGGGCGCCCTTAGGCGAGCTGTCCATGGAGAAGGTGAAGGTGAAGCGGTACGTGTCGGGGAAGCGGCCCGACTACGCGCCCATGGAGTCCTCGGAGGAGGAGGATGAGGAGTTCCAGTTCATCAAGAAGGCGAAGGAGCAGGAGGTGGAGCCCGAGGAGCAGGAGGAGGAGCTCGCCAACGACCCCCGCCTGCGCCGCCTCCAGAACCGCATCGCTGAAGATGTGGAGGAGCGGTGAGTGCGGGGCCAGCGCCACGTCCCGCTGCGGGATCGTCTCTGCAGGGGCTGGGGAGTGCAGACCCCGCGCTGCTGCACGCGGGGAGGAGCAGCAGGCAGGAGCTGAGAACGTTCTGCAGGCAGTGCAGGAGAGCCTCCGATTGCTCTCACTTCTGTGCCGCAGGCCCCATCTGTGCGGGAGTCCCCATCTCCCAGGGCACATCCCCACGTCTGGGTGCAGCTGGGGGGGTGTGAGTGAAAACGGGTTCCATTAATGTGGTGTGCAGAGGCTCAGCGGAGTGGGAAGGGACGGCATCATGCAAAGTATACTCATTTGCCACCTCCCCTGGAGCTGCTGATCTTTTTGGTTCTGGTAACGGGGAGACTTGCAGCTTGGAGCCCTGCTCCTGCTCAGAGCATCGCCAGGGAGAAGCTGCCGGTGCCCGGCCACTCCAGCCCCAGGAGAGAATGTGTTGCGTTCTGCCCACACTCAGCAGCTCCAGCGCTTTCCATGCCCTCGCTGGGGACAAGCCCTGAGTAGCCAGCCTCTTGCAGGCTCTTTACGTTGGCTGTTGTTTAACTGCTCTGTTGCAGGCTGGCGAGGCACCGTAAAATCGTGGAGCCTGAAGTGGTTGGAGAAAGCGACTCAGAGGTGGAGGGGGAAGCCTGGCGCCTGGAGCGGGAGGACACCAGCGAGGAGGAAGAGGAGGAGATCGATGATGAAGTGAGCTTGTAGATCTGAATAATGGCCATGGGAGACCTCTGAGGGGCACAGGCTGGACCTGCCATTTGCACAGACATGTCTGGTGGAGCTGGACGAATGTCACAGCTGGCTGTGACTTAGCTGGTGGGACACTGCCCTCTTGCATGGGACGGGTATATAATCTCGTCATCAGCAATCCAAGTACTGCATGTGTTTGACAGAGGAGTCGGAGGGCAGTGGCAGCGGGGCCGCTCTCCACTGCTCTGTGTCTCTGTGCAGGAGATTGAGCGCCGGCGCGGGATGATGCGTCAGCGAGCACAGGAGAGGAAAACTGAGGAGATGGAAGTGATGGAGCTGGAAGATGAGGGTCGGTCTGGAGAAGAGTCCGAGTCAGAGTCTGAGTACGAGGAATACACAGACAGTGAGGACGAAATGGAGCCGCGTCTCAAGCCCGTCTTCATCCGCAAGTGGGTGCTGTGGCCGTGTGGGTCACCCTGGGTGAGGTCACGGGAGCCAGGGCCATGCAGACTCCACTTCTGTGGCTTCCTCTTCCTCCATGGGGGAGTGTGATGGTTAGATCCTGGCAGGGCAAAGCTGGGGAGTGTGGGGTGATCCCTGCCCTTCATCAGGTTGCTGCAGGTTGAAGTCGCAGCGGGGTCTGACTGGAACCCTTGTGCAAGTGCCGTATGGTGGCAAACACAAGCTGTCAGTGGGCTGAGCCCCACAGCCGGTGGCTTGCTCTCCCATTGCTCTTGTGCTTGCTGGCAGCCAAAGGGGAATGGTGCAGCAGCCCCGGCATGGGTGACACTGGAAGGCGTTGAGGGCCCTGGGTCTCAGCCTGCCATTGGAGAGGGTAAAGGCTGGAAGCAGCTGTGGTGCAGGAGGGGGAGAAGCCTGCAAGGAGCTGGCTGGCTGCACTGGCCTGTGGCAGGGCTGAAGGTGGTTGGGGTCCCTGCTTGCAGGAAGGACAGGATCACAGTCCAAGAGCGAGAAGCAGAGGCCCTGAAGCAGAAGGAGCTGGAGCAGGAGGCAAAGAGGCTGGCAGAGGAGAGGCGCAAGTACACACTCAAGGTGCCATGGGGCAGACTGTGGGTTGCTGGGGGGCAGCTGCTGCAGTGAGCTTAGCTTGCTCCTTGCTGCAGATCGTAGAGGAGGAAGCGAAGAAGGAGCTGGAGGAGAACAAGCGCTCACTGGCAGCACTGGATGCACTTGATACAGATGATGAGAATGATGAGGAGGAGTATGAGGCCTGGAAAGTACGTGAGCTGAAGCGCATCAAACGGGATCGAGAAGAACGAGAAGCGTAAGTATTGTCTCCAGAGGCATGAGGAGGGAAGCCTGCAGCCCAGGTCCCACGGGCAGTGGAGGCAGCTGTTCCCTGGGCTTCCCTTCGGCGGCATGGTCTTGGCTGGACCAAGCACCCAGAGCCCCTCCTGCCACCCTCGGGGGGCCTTTGTGCCCCTGCAGAGGCCCCCGATGTGTAACGCCGTGGATGGCAGCAGCAGCCATCCCTGTGGGATGCGGCTCTCAGGGGGTTCTCTTCTGCCCAGCATGGAGAAGGAGAAGGCAGAGATCGAGCGCATGCGGAACCTGACGGAGGAGGAGCGCCGCGCCGAGCTGCGGGCCAATGGCAAGGTCATCACCAACAAGGCAGTGAAGGGCAAGTACAAGTTCCTGCAGAAGTACTACCATCGCGGCGCCTTCTTCATGGTGAGTGTTCCCTGGGCACGGCTGCGCTGGAGCCTGGGGCTGTGACCATGGGGACGACTTCCCCCTGTGGTACCATGGGGCTGGGGGTGCCCTTCTGGTGGCACAGGGGCTCTCCTCGACTATTGCCAGTGCTTGCTGGGGACGTGCCAGCTGAGCAGGTGTGTGCTTGCCCCACAGGATGAGGACGAGGAGGTGTACAAGAGGGACTTCAGTGCCCCTACCCTCGAGGACCATTTCAACAAGACGATCCTGCCCAAAGTCATGCAGGTGGGTGAGCTGGCTGGGGTCACGGTTCCTCGTGGGGCAGGGCGAAGCAGCGGGTCCCCACGTCCTCCCCAAACAGCTCCTCATCAGCTCTGCTGCTCCCCAGGTCAAGAACTTCGGGCGCTCAGGGCGGACAAAGTACACGCACTTGGTGGACCAGGACACCACCTCCTTTGACTCCGCCTGGGGCCAGGAGAGTGCACAGAACACCAAGTTCTTCAAGCAGAAAGCGGCGGGTGTTCGGGACGTCTTCGAGAGACCCTCGGCCAAGAAGCGAAAAACCACTTAATGCAGTGGGAGCCCAGGCAGGGACGGGAAGGACACAGCACTGTGCCGGGACTTGCGTGGTGACAAACCCTTCCTCTGCTGTAGTTCCCTGCTCCCTGTACTGCCGTGACCTGGCGGGCTCCCTGCCCCGGTGCCGTGCAGGACAGCAGCCTGTCCGTGCTGGCCAGGCCCATGGTCCCACCAGCATCCCACCGGAAGCCACCCCAGGAGCCTCACCAGTGCCCAGCAGGGCTGTGAGGGAGCACGGCAACTCCAGTGCACCCGCTTCTGGAGGGATGAACAGACTTTATACCTGCCTGGTCCCTGTGGCTTGTACTTTCCCTGCTCAGTTCAGGCCCTGTTTCGGTGACCCCTTTTCTTCTCCCTGGTTGTGCAGGACTTGGCTTTTCTACCCATACAGGGGGGTGGGTTTGATTAAAGTCATCATTTTCTTACACGTTCTGGCTGTTGTCTGTGAACATGGCCATCCTGTTCTGTACCTTCCTGCAAGCCAGGATGGCCTGGTGCAGCCGGGGAGGCATCGGGCAGCGCACACGTATGGCTGTCACTGCACCCTGATGGTAACAGCGCCCTTGCCCCAAGAGGGGTGAGGTTACAGGCAGGAAGAGCAGTGAGTCTCAGTGCTCAGGCAAGTTGCAGGTCACTTCATCCTGCTCCAGGCTACCAGCACAGTGCTGGGCCCCATGTATCAGCACCGTGTGCCCTATGGGACCCACAAGGCAGGCGCCCGGCCACACAGACCACAGTGACACCTGCTCCCAACCGCACCTTTATTGTGTAGGGACACAGAATCCAGCTGCAGCCGGCCCTGCGCCTGGCACTCAGTTGGTGAGAGTGACGAGAGCCTCCACCACGTTCCCCATGTGCTCCCGAAGGCTGCGCTCCGCGGCCGCTCGCGAGATCTCCATCTCTGTCATCTGCAGGGACAGCGGCAGCACACCCAGTCACGGCGCAGGACGGGGCCACCACTTGTGCACCGGCTGCAGGTGCAGCCCGCGTGTGGCCACCGAACTGTCCCCGGAGGCTGGGACGCCGCCCCCCACTCACAATCAGCTCCAGATCCTCCTTCTTGATGGTCACTTTTGCCAGTTCCTTCTCCCTGCGGCAAGAAACAGACGAACCCCCGCTGACTGACAGCTCTCACCGGTGACCAAGGGGCGACCCGGTGCAAGCCGGGCACGGAGCGGCTGCACCCACGAGCGAGTGCAGGCAGTTACCTCTCCTGTTTCGCCTTCTGCTCCCG